TATGGCCAATCCATCTCCATTTCTTCCTGCCTATTTGTTTCACAATCGGTTCCTGCTGGGTTGGTTCGCTCCCAGAAATCTCTGTTGCTGATCTTTTCTGGCCGGCCATCTGATCTTGAGTATTGAGTGAAGACAACTGTCAATGAAGGTTTGTAGTTTGTTTGAGATGCTCTTTATGACGCGCCAAGTCTCTGATCCGTATAGTAGCACTGACTTCACATTGGAGTTGAAAATCCGGATGTTATTTTTGATGCTGAGTATTGTTGACCTCCACACAGACTTGAGAGTAGTGAAAGCTTGTCTTGCTTCTCCGATTCTTGCTTTGATATCCTCGTCGGTTCCGCCTGTAGTTGAAATGATGCTTCCAAGGTAGGTAAAAGAGGTTGTTTCTTTCAGGTTCCTTCCATTTATGCTGATTGTTGTCTGCTGTGGTTGTTGTTGCTGTTGGTGGTGTTACCCAGGAATTTTCATCACCTCTGTTTTATCTATGTTCACTTGAATTCCTATCTTTGATGCTTCTTCTGCTAACTTGTTGCTTTTCGCTTGCATGTCTTCCAGTTTGTGGGAAATCAGACATATATCATCGGCGAAGTCCAGATCCTCCAAGTTTTTTGTGTGGATCCATTTTATGCCTGTTTCCTCATTCTCCGCTGTTTGTCGCATTATCCAGTCTACTGCAATCAGGAAAATCATTGGCGATAGTAGGCAGCCTTGTATTACTCCTGTTCTCACTTAGAAGGGTTCCGTGAGTTTCCCGTTGTGGATTACTTGGCATGCGGCATTGTCGTACAGCTGTTGGATGAGATGTATAATTGTCGGTGGCACCCCGTCGTAGCGAAGTAGTTTCCAAATCACCTCTCGATCGATGCTGTCTGCTGAAGGCCTTTTCAAAGTCGATGAAGTTGAGATAGAGAGGTGACTGCCATTCCAGGCTTTGTTCAATGATGATCCGTAATGTGGCGATCTGATCAATGCATGATTTGTTTCTCCTGAATTCAGCTTGTTCCGGTCGAAGTTTTTCATCCAGGGCATGTTTGATTCTCTCCAGGATGATGCGGCTTAGTATTTTGCTTGGGATGGACAGGAGCATAATTCCGCGCCAGTTCTTGCATTGACTTAGGTCTCCTTTCTTTGGTAGTTTGAATAAGTATCCTTTCTTCCAATCCTCGGGTACTTTGCCTTCTTTCCACACCTTCTCCAGTAGAGGCGTCATCAAATCCGCTGTTGTCTCAGGGTCCATTTTCAATGCTTCTGCTGGGATTCCATCTGGTCCTGCTGCTTTTCCAGCTTTTAGCATCTTGATTGCCTTCAGGACTTCTGATTTTAGACAAAATAATATAATTTACCAAATACCTTGCCATGATTGTGAGGTCAAATACATAGGTCAAACTAATAGACCAGGAGTAGTGAGATTATCAGAACATAGGAATTTACTTAAGGTTAGGATGATTGACCCCGATAAGATAAGTGCTTTAGAAAAAACTCAGCATGCATCAACATATAACCACATAATGTGTTGAGACAGAGTCAAAATTCTGAAGAGTAACATAGGTAGGTGGAGAAGAAGATTGATTACTGAATCCTGGTTCATCGAATCTGCAATAGGAATGACTCAATGCAAATACCAGAGATATGGAAGATATTACTACCACTAGTCAAATCAGAGAAGGATAATAAATGATCTTAAAATGTATTCGATTCACATTATAACATCCTATCCAGTTACTTATTTTTACTATATACCATCTTATTTCCCATCTGATTGTATTTGATTGATAACACTAATATTATTTCTGAATCTACTTCATCTTATATTGACTTTATTCAAATATCCAATCAATTTTATTCATGTATATAAATGAAGCAAAAAAGTTGTGTGAGTGACTTGATATGATTATGAGCAGTAATTTGTGCTCGAAACGTCAGCAGTTAATACTACTGTATAGCACTTTGTGATTTATCAAAATAAAATCTTATCTATAATGGAGTTATATTCAACTACAGTGCCCTAGTTTTATACTGATATCAATAAGCAAAACGATACTCGCAATCTTAGAAACCTAGACAATTAGAGTCTGAGAACCAGTCCACTGCACCCGCTTTGAATCTCCCGTGGTACTATCTCTCCAAATTTTTTGTTACTGTCGTTATCATAACTGATTTTACAATTCCAACATTACCAAACTTTCAACGATTCTCAATTATTTTTTTATAACTATGACAGTAGCGAACTGTAATTTGCTCAGAACTTAATTTTACTTTTTTTGAATAGTTTCCTCTCTTTTCCACGTCTGAACATGAGTTTCACTTTTCAGTTGATGGATTCTTCGAGAATCTGATGAATTCATTAAATCCTGCCTTTTAAGAATATCCTGCTAATTTTAAACTATGATTCACAGTTTGATTGTATTTAGGGTAAACTATGTACACAGTATACAAGTTTACGGAAAAATTCAGTCTACATTTATTCTAGATCGCTGCATAGTTAGTGGATAAATGAAAGAAAATCTAAACAAGTGACTCAGTGAAAAGTCTCTTTTCAACGAATTTGTCATCAAGCTGTAGAATCGTATATATGTATACGTATACATATATATATATGTATGATTTTGTAATAATAATGTGTACTGGGACAAAAATAATTGGTCGCGTACCATATAATATAGTTCATGAAGTGTATAAATCTCAAAAGGGTGCAGAAATAATAAGAATTATAAGCAATTAGAACATCACACAACGATGCGATAATTAGGATAAGACAACGCTGCAAAAATTATGTTGAACTGAATAAATAAAGGTGACATGCAATATAATCCCCCAAATTGTACAAAGTGAAATTAATAAATAACAGTAGATGCAATAATAAAAGAATATACAAACTGAATAAACAAAAACAAAAATAAGTAGGGCCAACATAAGAATGAGGATTATCATATTTTAGCATAGACAGATTAAGACCATGAGAGTTGGAGGGCTTGAATAAACTTCTTCTGTATTCGGAAAACTGGCTTTCCTATTCTGATAGCCAAAACTTCGGTAATACAGATGAGTAGTGATTTGAGCAAGTTATTTTTCTCCTTGCAGATAGCTTTAAGGGAAGAGGCTGTAGAGATATCGTGACAAGTACCGATCAGATGTTCGATGATTACGCCTCCTATAGCTCCACTTCCACCTCTTTGTTACTAAGCAGGATAGTATTCGTGTACCCATTTGGACAAAACTCGAGTCGAACGACCGATATACCTAGCTCCATATGAGCAGGTGAATTGATAAACGCACATAAAGTTGGTCAACTGCAAGATCTTGCCCTTCAGCCGATTGAACAGCAATGGTCAGCCATAAAACTCTTTTCCCAACGATACTTCAGCGGATGTCCTTTTCATCGAATGTCATTCCAGCAGCCAATTCACTTCTAAATTCCAGGTCCATGTACAGTATTTGCTTGGTTACAGAGGTTGAATCACGTTTCACAGGTTTTAACATTATGTTTTTGTCTATAAAACGTGGTGGAAATCCATTTTCTTCTAGGATTTGTCCTAAAAGATTTAACTCTTCCTCCATAGCATTAGGAATAGGTGTGCGCCAAATGTACACCTTGATGATGCATTTATTAAGAGAAGACTATTCGCTGAATCACTTATTTTGATTTTCTTTGTACACAATGGGATTTTCCATAAGTGAAAGAGTGGAGCTAATTTGGTTTGACAAAAAATCTCAATTTGTTAGTCAGACACTGTCGTTACATAAACCTTTTATGATGAGACTATCTAGAAAAGCCTTGGATTAGTCGACTTCTATTTATATAATGGTTGGTGATTGAAAATGGAATGAAAGTCTAGTTTGTGGCAGGATTTTAACCAGTGCACTAACACCTGAACCACAAGACCTGCTTCCATGACTAATATTTTTATTTTCCCTTAAATGCTCAATGTTTGTTTCAATAGAAGTTTACCAAACCAATGCTATCTCAGATTGTCTGACCAATAATTAAAAACCTACTTCTTCCCTTTTAGTACAGGATGACACCACATGGATATAAATTCGTCGTAAAAATGCTTACTACTTACGAACAGTTTGAGCGCATATGATTAATCACGTAAGTCAGTGTGAAAGTCTTAGAGATTCTTAGAACATTTTCATTTCGAGAAGTTAAGGACGGAGATACTTAAAATTCATAACAGGAGAGTTTTGACCGTTCAGTTCATTTTCTGGTTTCATTCATCAGGCTTACTTCTTAAGGATATAAGAAATAATCCTATGGAAAACTTAGCATTGGTCTTAATAAAAGCTACATTGTAAAAAGTAATTACAGTAGATTAGTCAGACTTTAATACTTGTGGGACTACATTTATATTTGCAGTTGGTAATTTCTGTCAAGTGGGAACTACGTGAAAAACAAATGTCAAAGTGTTTGTGAAATTTGAGTTTCACTTGGTGTCAAAGTTGGTCAAACTTTTAAACACAAATGATTGTCATCGACCTTTTTATAACTTAAATTCTACATTTGATAACGGTGTAATCCTCTCCAGAGTATTATGAGTTAATCAAATTTTCAGAGAAATATTCCACAGTTTCTTCCGTTTAACAATCCTTTTAGCCTCCCAAGGATTGATAGGAACAACCGAAACAAACAAACCAATTATAATTTTCCTGAGACCATACGAGAGATATACTTAAATTGCTAGAATGACATTTCTACAATTTGCAGGTTACTGATTCTGAAATGGAAACCTGGTTGGCAGCAAAAGACTATTTATTAAAAATTCTGCTATGACTCAGCTTTAAACGCTACCAACCAAAATCACCGCACACAACTTGAAGGTAATCATTAGATATTATGAATCACCTCCAACAAGTTATTTTTCTCTTTAGTCTGTTTTCGAAACAAATTTAGACTTTGGTCGCTTAAAAAGGTATAATCATTATATTACGGTGTATTCCATATATTCTGCATCTAGACACAGTCTTTGCTGGTTCAGATATTCATTTTAAAATCTGTTGCTTGACACGGCTGATTATTAGAATATAGTGAACAACTTTTTGTACCTTACATTATATTATCAGACTTAAATGTTAAAAGTTGTGTTGATAAAAATGGTTTTGAGTTAAACTTTTATTACAGTAAAAATTTGCATCAAGAATACAAAAGTTGCTTTAACGTGATTATTTAAAACACGTAAATTCCGTCAACCTGACATATTTCGTTGATCTTCACAACGAGACAAATTAACAACAGCAACATCCTCCTGGACGATTTTTAGTTTCCTTCTCCAACCATATGCAACCTTTTGTTGTTCCTTCGTCACAGCTGAATACCATGTGTTTTGTATTGATTGCCTCGTCAACAGGATCTGTACCCTCCACCATACGAGCTCTCCAACATGGACCAAATTCACGATCACAATGAACAGTTATGTCGAATAGGCTAGAATCAACACTGCTTTCGTTCCAGTTAGCTTCTAATATTGCAACGATTCGTTTCTGCATTTCTGCATCTAAATTAGTTGAATAAACGATAGGTTTCGGTGTTAGATTCCATGTTGTTATCTTTCTTTCTCTAAGGATTTGGCTGGAAACAAAAACAACGAGAAAATAAGCATACGTATGTTAAATTCAAAATGTCCGCACTAAATTGAAAATGTTCAAAAGTAAAACACCGAAAATCTAAAGTAAATTTCTTGACCAATGTCAGCAGATTTACGATAGTCTACATTCAGGTGTGAATCCTATAACTGTTCTTATAATTTCAAAACACTTGGGCTGGCCTTTTTAATTAAAAGAATGTATTAGTTTATAATTTAATAGTGCTTATAGTATTCTGGGAGCTTACGTGCTGTACTTCTTTAGAAGATAATTCTTTCTCAGTATTCAATTAAATACGGCTCATGAGATATCCACTACAATTGGATGTATCAACAGACTACGGTTTTATTTAGTATTTCAGTTGTCACGTGACCATTTATATTGTAGTTTGTCTAACACAAAAGCAGAACTTAATTTTATCCTGCGAGCTCATTTTTACTATTCCCCCAAAATGTTTGTGCAATGAGATGGGAGAATTATATCATTATGAATCCCTTTCTTAGTGTCATGTTATAACTAATTTTTAGACTTGGTTTAGGTAACAAATGACCAAGTAAGCTCACTTCAGAACCACAACAATGTCTTTAAAATTACTGTTAAGTCGCTTTTGAAAATCAAAATTTATAATCTGACTATCGAACACTTATAGTGATTGAAGACTTTACTCAGAAGGAAACACATTATACAAAGCTGATTTCTTTTATATGCCCAGATGGAAAAGAATTGATGATTAAGTTAGAATAACAAGGATTGCTTTCAGCTAATCTAATGACTCGTCAACCATTGTGGGTAAAATTTATTTTGATAAAGTCTCACAGTGTTATGCAGTAATATTCACTGATGATGTTTCGAGCACAGTTTATTGCTCATAATCATATCAAGGTATTCACACAACTTTCTAACTTCGTTTATATAACTCCATTATTTTTCATCGCTTGACTTGATTGGTAATAGTATTTTCCATATTTCTGGTATGAGTGATGAATCATTCCTATTGCACTCATTGGGCGTAGATTCGATGAACAAGGATTCAGTAACTAACCTCTCTCTCCACCTACTAATATTACTTCTTAGAATTTTAATCCCCTCGCTGAGCTTTTTTCTAAATTGCACTGCATGCATTAACACACAACCACACAATAGGGTGGGAGAGGGTTAAATTCTGGTAAAGCAATGCGTCGGCCGTGTATCGAACCCCAGACCATGTGCATAGTCGGCGAGCGTCCTAACCGCTGTGCCACCGACGCACAATCCAGGAAGTCAACCATCATTAATGTGTAAGTAGAATGTGCATATTTCTAGGGATAGAGGGGACGAGTAACTGCCGTCTCATACTGATTAAATAACAAAATGTTTGAATTCGTAGTATTTTATGAAACAAAGAATAAAATATGCAACCAAAAAGTAGTATGAGAATGACGATACAAATAAATATATCAGTATAAATGAAGATGATAATCACAGTTATCTGATGTCACGGGATAGACAACCAATTTAGGTAGAGAGTTTAGAGTGACTACAGAGACGTTTTCTGAGCATAGTTTCGGTTGAAAATTTTTACGACAACTACCCTATCCATGCTCTGCATTCGGAGATATGCAAATCTAGAGAATTGAAGAAGTACTTTATGTAGAATGCTAAAGGCTGAATTTTCACAAATCTCACGCTGCATATCATCTAGGTGTGCCAATATAGAACTCCTTACTGGCCTAATGATTCCTTTAATCAGCCACGTTGGACAGAGTTTCAGAAGGTGATGATGGGCCTAATGTGTCATTCCACCTCTGCATCTATCTCCGCAAGAGCAACTAAGTTTATAAATACTCAATAAAGTGGCCAGAATTGATGGATTATCCTTCACTTGCCTTAGAATTATGCAACGAGCGATGAACTTGAAACATAGTGTTAAGATAAATGATGTTTTAGACTTTTATTATTTTAAGTGTCGATGCCAGTAGTTCAGGAGTTCTTTTATATGACAAAGTTATATATACGTATATATACATATATATCCTTCACCTGTGCTAGCGTTTCTCTTTATCTACTATATTAAGTAATTTTATAACCATTCACTGTGACTGGCAACTCAAATTATTCCAGGAAATTCCTAACATCTACGGTTTGAATATTAATAATCCGATAAAATACATCGCAGTTTTGTAGCACTTAGTTTACCGACCACACAACAAACTAGTGGTTAGAAAGTTTTACTTGTAATTAGTTACTCATGTTAATAGAATAGGGAATAAGTGACAGATATGTCTTACCATTATTTTTCAGCGAAAATACACTCTAAATCAAGTGGTTTTGCCAATCGATTAAATCACAAAGCTCAACAATTATTTCTTCGTGAGCTAACAGAGCTTCTAACAGCAAATTGCATCCTTAAGTGTATTCTTATTTTAAAATATTTGAGCTTCGAAACGTTTTAAAAATAATTGGTTTAAGTATACAGAAGACCGCCCTAGGTAATTATTGATGGCAATGGAATGTTTTGTTGAATATCAGCGCTTTGGAGATGACAAAAATTCATATTATTTTAGAATGTGGTAAGCTTATGTATTCTGAATAATTCTGTTTCTGAAAAATGAGAAATTTTCCTGTTACCTATATACATTGTGTCCATATGGAATGGAAGGGATTAATAGAAAGCAGATCTCGGAGATCTGATCAATGATCGACTCCATTCAATCAAAACGAACTTATGAAATAATTAAATGACAGTAGAAGAAACTCACACTTAAAACACTGTTGATAGCTAAGAAGGACCAGATAGTTATTCTGTAGAAGTTTGGAATTCTTCAGTGGAGTACAGTGAACACATTTTGTCGAATATATGTTTTTTCTCAAACAGATATTAATTAAGAAGTAAGAGACTCATCAGAATTACTAAATCTGATGTCAAATGAAATTACCTGTTCTGCTTGCTTATTTAATACAGTCATCTTTCCTATAACCGCGTGCATAAACCAGAGTAAAGATAGCGTGTGTTTTGTAATTCATATCTTAATTCTGTAATCTGTTAGAATATCGTCTCAAACAATTTTCATTTGGTAAGTTGAGTCAGGTTAAAATATTTCAGAGACCATAAATTAGTGATGAAAGCCATTGTTGCAAGCCTGTTACTCGGTAAACAATAGGAGATTTTAAGTCTAATCAATGTACACACAATCCACTTCATAGAAGTGATAACGCTAGTTTAACTGAAGCAAAGTGAAAACCTCTCGTCATTTTTTGTATAAAAGCTATTAGTAGGTTTTACTACTAAGAGATTATTATATGAATACAATCACTTTTTAACCATTTTGTAGTGCTTCATGTTTCAGAAACACATAAAAAACTATTAGAAAAGAATCTGATTTGGTGCACACTAATTGACACTAATTTTCATTATTGCCTTGGAAGTCCATCTGCAAACCATCACTGGTAAATGGTAGATTGAAATCCATATATTAATTTTGCAGTGATCTAATAGCCCGTATTTTAAACCAACACTACGCAGAAATTTGTCAAAAACCGAATTCCACTGGACTAAAACGCAGCCAGTAGTTACAACGTAAGTCTTATGAAACCACAAACATTTTATCCTAACAACTACTTCACTTATGTAAGGACTCGAGTTTGTATTACTCGATGTCAGTTGAATCAAATGACTGACTGCCTAAGTAGAATCTGTAACAAACTTATCTTACACTTCAAGTTTTCTAATCACCAGCTAGTTAACGGAAAAAATGAATATTACGACTAAGCTGCAAACTTCTGGTAAATGTATTTTTAAAAACACATATATTATAAACATTTAAAGCTTCCCAAAATCCAACTGCCGAAAATTTAGAAAATATTTTTGAGAGAGACGATAATAGGCAATCGCAATAATTATTTTGCTTACTTCCTCTTTTTCTTGCTAACGCCAAGGACTTCACAAAAATGAAGGAATGTTATTTGACCAGTATTGTCTTTATCGAATATATTTCGCCATTTCTAGAGTAAGAAATAATTGTTATTTCAAATAAGTACCCCACAATGAAATTTGAAAAAAGTTAGAAGACAAATATCACCAATAGAAATCAAACATAAGAACCTTGAATAACTACTTATAGTATAACCCTGAGCTGACATAACTTGGAATTCACGTGTCACTGGATCTCATTTCGATGGCTGAGTGTTCAACCGGTTCGCCCCGCAAACTGAGGTTCCTGGGCTCAGTCTCTCGTAGGGCCACACGTGTGCCTGAAGAGCCTAATTCAGGACGAAATAGGTGCTAAGCGCTGCACACTTAACAATAGTTCTCTATCTGATGTCAGTTTGTGATGAAATCCACCTTGAAAGCAATCAAATCCATGTAAATCAGTCGATCGTATGGTTGCGATACGTTCTCCTTCAGTCAACTAACCAGGGTTTAGAATAAAGCCATGATTATTATTTCTTCTGCAGATAAAAGTAAACGCATTAGGATGCTCCAGAATCAAGTCTGAATACTTCCTAAAACACACCAAATGAATTGTGCCATTTATTTTACGAGTTATATAGCTATTATCTGGTATCCCAGTTACACTTCTCCTAATTCACCAAACATAGTGTGATTCCGCCTGACAAATTTGTTCAACAATTAGGTAAAAATAAGGTCACTTGTTCACATCCTTTCATTTCATTGACACAATGAGCCAGATAATGTGAATATTCTTTCCTGCATCTCTGGTGTAACACACTTGTTCCCAAACCTTTAATCCCTTTACTCCCGTCATACTTTTACCTGGTTTAACAAACTTGAATGAAGTTATGTCAACAATAATAAATATCTTTTATTCTCTTAGAATTCTTCGATTTGCCTACAGCCTGAACAAACAGTATGTATAACTGTTGTGTTTTAATTGTTGACTGTTAATAAGCTAGATCATGCACTGGAATTACAGTAATTGGTCCACAAAAAATTACTGTACACTTTAAATCGAAAATTTCTTTGACTGAGTAAACATCCCTTTGAACGGACAGATAATTATTTAGTAGCATGATGACTAATGTTTACACGAAATTCTAAACTGCATCATCATTAGAAAACCACTGAACAAAACAAAACAGCAGGTATAAGTGCATCTAATCTCCTAATGATTTCAAGTCAACAACAATGAGTACAAGAGAACCAACTTAAATACTTTTCAGAGTTGGACCTGTTAATACCTTATCAATCGGAGAGTAAGCTTATGTGATAAAATCATACAGAGACCCGGTATTATCAACTGATCACGTCCCGAGAACAATTTATGGCTGATAATCATATCAAGGCTTTTATTTAATTCCCTCAACCTATGGTGTTAAATTGTGAATTGTACCACAGAATACAAATTTTAGCCTGCATCTAAGAAGATCGGTTCTTATCGGTTAGTAACCGAATCAAGTGAAATATAATGCAAACATCACTTTTATACACGAAGTTAATTTGAACGAGCAATATCCAGCAGCTGAGAAGAATGATAATTCAATAATTTCATGATGTTTAATAACATTTTTTTTGGTTTCTTTTAACTATGCATGAAAATTAAGGACAACCTAAAGCGTAAATAGAAGTCATCACAAACACAAGAATAGTGTGCCATTTACAGTTTCCCTTTCACACTGCCGTAAGCATCAGTTTTCCTCGATATTATCAGTCAAATTACCTGTGTCAATAAATAGAAAATAAGTTATGGTAAGAGGACAAATATCCAGACCATAGATGTCGCGAATTTCCAGGAACAATTTGGGCGTCGAGTCAAACTGATTCTTTATAAAATTAACTGTAATAATCCCATCGTTTGAGTAATTTTCTACTGACTCATTCAGACTTACTGGAAATTCGTAATATATGTGGTCTGGATATTTATTGTCTTATTAAAAATCGGATTAATTTATCGAATCGCCAGTCAAATTGATATAAACGTCGAATATTTCGTTTATGATACCTACGAAATGATGACACTTCAGAAAAGTCTCTTCAACCTTTAAAAGCACCCACTCTAACATACCACATTTTCCTTCGTGAAAGGATACACAATTGTACATTATCAACAGAACAATCTCGGTGTCTCGATACAAGCATTAATGATTATGTTGTTATTCTTGTATCCATATATATCATCTGCATACTATTATAAAATTATGCAAGGATCGAATGTTAGGTCATTTCAATAAAGTAAATTCAGACAAATTACGAGGTTTGAAAATCTTAAAAAGAGTGTTTCAACCTTCAGTGTTCTTTGGGTTGGATTTAAGTTTGCTCAGTGATTTATGATTACCTAAAAGGTTTTTATAATTATTTATTGAAGTTTTATTATGTAGGTTGAAATAAACGAAGAAAGGATTTGGGAATGTAGTATTCAATTTACTTTAGCAAACACCATGAAAGAGATCAGGTGAACTTGAAAATACTCTTTCTGATGAATTATATGTAAGCATATTTATAACTCAGGTTCAAATACTTTATGTATTCGGTTGAAAATGGTTAGTAATTGTATCCAGTACGTGCTTTTATTCCTTCGAGGGATATGTCTGCATTCGAGTAAGCAGTGGTATTGAGACTTGAGCACAGCATTTATTATTTCAAACATCAGAGCGTTATCCACTTGTCTACTGAGCTATGGCAGTCGTGTCTCGCTCAACCAGTATTAGTTTTTACTTCGATAAAAGACTATGGGCTTTAGGTTTGACTTAATTAGAAAACAGCAACAACAATGAGTCTGCTGAGCAAAAGTCTCTTCAAATACTTCAAATGATAACATATGGAAAAAAAGTGGAGTTCAAACTGATCAACCTTTCAAATAGGTACACAGAAAAGCGAACGGATTTATTCACAGAAAATGAAATTCCAGTGTCTTGCCATCAGTTATAAACGTTAAACATGTTTAGCCATTATTACCATTATTATTTTTATGAGTGTCATTAAGATGTGTTTCTTAAAGCTGTTCAAAACTCTTATCAAAGTGGTTTTTAAAGTTTAATTTATTTAAAATAAATAATGTTTGAACGTAAATATCCCACCTTTGTGAATGTTAACCCCTGAATCCCTTCTGAATATCAAATTTTCAACAGTATTTAATATTACCAACTTAAACTCATCATGATCAGTTTCAACTGCAGTCGACCAACTTTGTTTTTTCACTTTTATATACTGTTTGGAACTGTACAGACTGAACTCCAGAAACAAAATCAGCCTACACAATCTTTCTCATGAATGGCATAGTGGTCAAATTTTAGAACATTAGCTATTAAATCCAGTATAATGATCAATAAATTCATTAACCATTCCTTTCTTTGATCACTCTGATCAATAAAGCAATTTACTAGATAGCTAATTTCCGGATGGTGCAATCTATTTTAAAGTGCCTGTTGTCTTCAGATTAAAGAGAACATGAAAGTTCTGGTTGATGTAAGCACCGATGTGAAGATCATTTTGTTTCAGTGTGGAAGAAGCGATTAAATTATTATATATTGATTTTGAGCGTTCAATTTAGGAGTCTCCTTTCGCTCCGGTTAGACGACATGATAAATAACAACTTTAACTTAAACAAGCCGAAAAAGCTTTTGTTGACACCTTAGACATTTTTTCTATGGCTGCAGTGAGATGAGTTCATTTTAGTCGACGCGGTAGTCTTTATCTGATCATAAATCACACTAGTGTCTTCTAAAAGTTAAGTATGGAACTTTAATCTATAGAGAAGGTGATGAAAGAAAAGATTTACTAGCCATCATAATTGATAACTTCACTAACGAAACCCACAACTTTGAACTACTTATCTACTTTAATGGTATTTCACAGACAAACCCTTAACTTATGTATACAATCCGGTTCTATCCTTCTTTTTTGTAGGAATTATCTAAGGCTGTGTATCAGCAGTAAGGCTTCCTGTTGGACAATAAGTTATTTTGAAGACAATAATCGAATAAAGTGTAACCGTTTACAACTTTAACAAAACTACACAATTCGAACTATCATGAATAATTAGATACTGCAATTTCTGAGTTGTAAGTTTCCATATTTAAATTAGGTGACCTAACCACTGCATAGCCCTGTCTCTGAATTGAGATGACCACATCACCAGTGAACTTTAACAAATGCAGTCGACTAAGCAAGCTTTATTGACAAGACTGTTTAAGAATTCTGTGTATCCCTAACTTAAATTAAAAAAACAAAATGCTCTCAAGAATTCATAGAAGCAATCACCTGATGTCTGATTAAACTGCTAAAGTATCTGGTCGGCTGGACTTATCCAGCATGTTGGTTGAAATTTCGCTCGGCAAATTTTTTTTGTCAATAATTTTTAATAAAATTTTGTTATATGTTTTCTGGATTGATAGGAATTCTCATTTCCTGGCTAGTTATGTTGGTGTCCGCGTCATGTAATCTGACTGCGACACACTTAGCACATTGGTTATAATGATTAGTGTTTCATGCTGAATGCATCAAAACATCTCTACAATGAAGAAGATGGGGTAGTTGGGGGGTAATGTCATCTACACAAATAGTTTATTTCTTGTAGAAGCTGCAGCTTTCGACATAGTGTCATTCAATGAAGACTACGTCAAAATTTGGCTATTTTCGTGTGAAGAACAGTACTATTTTACAAAAGAATGCTATCAGTACATGGGAATCACCTATAAATGCCAACAGAACGTAAAACCAATGTGTAAACGAACGGCTACGGAACTGCAATCCAACATAACCGACTAACATGGACGAAAATGACCTTTGAGCGTCTCACTCCATCAATGACCTTGAGCATGCGGGATAATTTCAGCCATCTGGTCTTATTACATCTAATTCCCACCATCTAAATGAGTTCTTGTAACCTAAAATAGCGTCGGTTCACCTGAAAATTCAATACAGAATTTTCTGAGATAAGAGGAATCATTGTTACCGCCAGATGTTTTTCGGTTGTGTCCATCAATTTTGTTCAGACATTTAACTTCTGAAATTCTCTCTGAGAGATAATTCATACCTCAGATTAGTTTCCACCATCAACCAGGGAGTATTTGACCTAGGTTTGATTCGTGATGAGGTCATAGGTGCTTACTGCTGAAGAGTAGCAAACAAGGACTACACAACTCTCTAGTATTTCCTGGTTCTCAGTGATTCTCTAACTGAGATCAGCTCACGGTTGATCTTCAAATTAAAAATGTCTCGCCCTAGTTTCGGGCCCCTTGGAAGTATGGCTGAACGACTTCTATAGAGATTAGTATAAATATAGAACTTGGGCACTGTGATAGAATGTAATTCCAGTATCCAGTATTTCCAGTATCATACAGTAATGCAATAATAATAAGTGGATGACAAGGTTTTGAGCATAAATTATTGCTCATAGCTATATCGAAATTGATATAGTTATGGGCAATAATTTATGCTCGTAACCTTGTCATCCACTTATTAATGCCACATTACTGTAGATACTTGAAATAAACTTATCTAATTTGGTTGGAGGATTTCAACATTAGCTGACATCAGTTAGAGAAGCACTGGAAAATCTGGGGAGTACTGGACATATGCTTCGTCCTATTTTGGGACTCTCCATCAGTACGCATCCATCAGAAGGTCCTGGGTTAGAACGCAGGTGGGTGCGTACTGATGACAAGTCCCAAACTAGGACGAAACGGCTTTCCAAAACTCCCAGATTATCCAATGTTTCTCTATCTAATGTCAACTAATGATGAAATCCTTCAGACAATCAATCAAACTTCCTACAAAACCAATACTTGAAAATTATCTAATATGAAATTTCTCAGGAAACTTACCGGTTTTATGAAGGAGATTCAATTTTAGAAAACTCAGTCAGTGTCCACAGGTCCTCAATTTGGAGTTTCTACCAATTTGAATCAGACTGTGACTATAAATTACAGTGGTTTTGATCCACTGGCGCCAAACCTGACTCATTTTATTACTCTTATTATGGCTTCTGAGTTGGACTTCATAGGTTTATCTTCAAGCTACTCGTTTAAAGATTACGTTTTGACAGTGATCCTGTCGTTTTGTTGGGTAGCTGATTGGTTGAGATACGGAGGTTTGCTTCTACTTACTTTTGGTTCAGCATACTTTTCGTCATCATTAATAAAGTTAAGGCTTCTGGAGCATTGAACGACGCTACAACATTTGATGTGGATTCTACATTTTGCTTATCAGTCATTAAAGTTTATTGAACTACGTAATTACCACTGTAGTACTATATATATATATACATATATATTAAGTGGGAAGCTAACGTGATCAGCTTAAATCACCGTCTCACATCTTTTCAATCAAATCTATAAACCATAACTACTAATACTGGTGAAGTAAAATTGCCATAAACGTCTGAGCCTTGTGAAAAAGTTCATAAAACTTCAACTCAAAAATGTTAAATTTTCTCAGTCAAAACACGTTCCAAAAGGAATGACTATAGCTACTTCTTTATAAATTTCAAGGCAAATGTCTACTCTAACATTCTTCAGTTTATCAAAAATATTATAGCTAAAGGCATAAATGATAAATGCGTACATCGAAATGATAAGTCTATACTACCAAAACATCTCTTAAATCAATATTTGCCTCGTGCCAGCTGCTCTTAAAAAACTAGACTCAGACATAAGGCCCAGTGAGTCAGTCACTGTTCAATAACCATAGAGTAAACTTTAATCAGACAGTTTCTTTTGACAGCAGTTTACAGTAGTGCTTTGTTAAGCAATATTCACCGATTTTCTTAAGTAGGCTGAAAATAACGTGAAAGATTATGATATGCAAGTTTAAATCATTGAAATGCACTTTTAAATACTTACTGTTACAAAATCATCTGTCACTGTGCCTTTTTTGGAATAGTCCTCAAGATCTTGAATTGAAATAACTCCATCATTATCAACGTCAATTAAAGAGAAAGCATGCAAGAATCCTGGCTCACCCATCGGTGTATAAACCTTGTCAAATAAACTTTCAGTTACTGTTAGTACTCAGTCAAATGTATACTGTCTCTATACAGCCAAATTTTACTGAATTGCACACGTATATTTATATATTTTAATTAAATTAGAACATAGAACAAAGCTATAACAAATTAACAGTCTATTATAGTATGTGTTCACCCCCCACTTGATAAACCTTAAAAGAAGATCGATAGCAAAGCACATTACAAAAAAATTTTATTGGCAGTGAAAACAATATGGTAGCTTTTCTTTATTGTTAAAAGGTAATAAAGCAGAAGAAGAAAAACAAGTCTGATTAACTCACAGGGTTTCTAACTTTGTTTTCTCATAGAATAGATTTTTATGAATAGAGGAAAGATTAAAATTTTTCACTTACATAGACTTGAGATCTGTGATGATTACAAGCATAACATTTAATCAACAAGACAGATATAAGTCAACTAAAGAACTAATTTGTAATATATTATTATTCATTTTTGTTGCAAATTTGATTCATATAATCCCAGTTACTTTAAATACACTTAATGTGAAGTCAGAATCTGGGTAACGTATAGTTCTGTATCATGTAAGTTTTTTTGACACAACACTCAGTGACTCAGTCTTGATATCTGGATGAGATTTCGATAACAGCATAAACTTATTTAGCGAAGTGAATCTTTGTAATCGCATTGTTTGTTTCAAGACCACAGTTGAAAGCCTTAGAAAGTTGATGGTTTGAATCTTATTGCGATTTTCATTTCTGTTACAGAATGAATCAACACTCTTCAATGAATTTTCCTCCTAATAAATCACAAAATTAAACACCCCACCCCAAGAAAACATTATTATTGTAATCATACCATAGTCCACTGATATGCTGTCAGATTTTAGCATTAAGCTCATATAAATATTATCCATCTTTTATCAAACTAAGTTAAACTAGTTAATAGTAGTATAGACTCTAGTATTCAACTAGGAATACACAATTAGAAGAGCAAACGACTCCACTGAGCAGCATCTAATACCACGTTTTCATTGTGGTCTCATCCCAGGAAACAACACATTCTACGTGCCAAGCTGTACCAAGATTCAGATTAAAGACAGGAACTACTTTCCATCTATGGCTTATGAGCTCAATGCCAAATCCAAGTAATGTTATGCTGTGTGTTACTTTTCTTGATCTGACTAGCAAAGTTTCCAGCTCTTATTATCAATCAGTTGTTACTGCATGTTGAGAGCTCAATCACTATACTTGGCTTTTTACGAGTATCGGCATGAATGAACACTTGATTTGTCACCTAGTTCCGAAGAAGACCTCTAAAAGTTTAAGGCTTAAGTCCTCGATATCTGCTTCAAGTAAATGTACACACAACATAGCCAGAGTCATATCTACTGACGAAGCAACGCAGAGAATAACCAAAAAAACTTCGACAGAATAATGATATGATCCTTGTTCGTCCAGACAATGGCTGTAGTAGTCAGCAAATCAGATTATGTTAACAAATTAACAAACCCACTATCAGACAAGATCAAATACTTATACCCCCCATCCCCAAAACAGGAAAATAAAGAAGAAAGAACAGAAAATCTCAAAATACCGCTTAAGAAAATGAAAAAAGGGTCAGTCAGAGGTGGTATGAACATATAAGACCATGCAGCTCGGCTAGTTTGAAGCTCAATGGATTACCTTAAGACATGTTATAGACATGGTCAACTCACCATATCAATAGATCGAGAAATAGCGAGTGGATATCCTCAAATCGGTATGAAAACATATGAATAGGTATAGCCTTAAAAATAAGTTTTATTTCGTTGAATCAGTGAAAGATGTCAATATGTTTGGAAGTCAAATTTTCTCTCTAGATGGTACTTCCCGGTTTGTAAGCACTTCCACAACAGAGACTATATGCTTCCAAAGCGTTCATATCAAATCAAACGACTTAGAAGTTCCTCTTCCAACCAGTTACCGTGGGGAACTACTTAGGTATACGTTTGACATTGAATTCGAATTCAGCAAATATTTCTGCGTACAGAAAAATGGTCTAGCTATGAGGTCTCCTCCTAGTCCACTCTTAACTGACGAGTCTTGAAAACAACATCCTGAATCCTTTGACCAGTCAATAGCACCTAAACCAAAAATATTTACGCTGATACTCTTAAAATATACAATGAAAAATTCGACCTAGGCAATCTCATCAGTACTTCATACGAAGCACATCCTTTAATAAAATTCCCCCTAGAACGTGAACCAAACATGCCACTTCCATTCCTGGATGTACTACTGACTAGAAGACAAGAAAATCTATCCAAAGATCAATATATGGAAAACCGACACGGACTAGACAGTTTATCAGCTTTCAGAGCTTCGTCCCACTGGTCTGAAAACAAAATCTAGAACGTTCCTTGTGGTCAAGGATTGGAAAAGTCTGTTTGAAGGATAGGTTAGAAAGTGAATTAAAATCTCTGCGTGACACTTTGTGGTGAGTGCTGGCTGCTAGCTAAAATGGTAGACATTAATTTACGTCAAGGTTTATGTCCCAAATATTAGTCGTGAGAAAAATAGGAACAGAGACCTTGCGTAGACGGATACAGTTAGCACATAGATGATCTGACATTCAAGAAACAGCCACAAAGAGATGAAATGTTAACTTTCTGTGAGAAACAACCAATCAGAAGACTGTGCTTTTCTGCTAACAATAATCTATAATAGGTACATGAAAATCTATAAATATGTGTTGATTTCTTTAATAAACGATCTGTTGCCTGGCCCTTGTCTTCTGTTGTTACAACTTCACTAGAAAACCCATATTAATCTAAATTTACCGATAGAAATATGGAAGAAAAGCCTCCATAACTTAAGTATACAACTGTTCGTGAGAAAGCTATTCACGAACCTAGAATTCAAAGATAATGTTGAAGCGGAAATTTTTGGAAACCTCCATTTTCAATTTTCTAAAGAAGATATTTCAAGCAGGTATCTTAAGAATCACTTTCTTCAGCAAAACAGTTAATCCAGTTGTGTATTATTGATAAGATGCTGCTTCAGGCCAACTTAGTGTGTATTTAAAAGTTTACTCGTTCCTGTAGAGCAAAGGGTGTCGGCCGTACGTACCACAAATGTATTCTGGAACACTGTCCAGACAGAGGAAGAAGCAAGAACATCAAAAGTTCTATCCTCGAGGACCTGGTCAAATATGGGCTTTGGACACAGATTTCCCCAATATCACACTAAAGGACTTCAGATACACCATTTATTGACAGATGAATCACTAGCTATTCTTGATTTGAAACCAGACCTCTGCGTTCAAAAGTACTACATACGTTCACTCCCCTTAGTGGGGCCAGAGTAACGTTCTTGTCATAATTTGGTTTCATTTTACTCTACAGATTCGTCGCTATTCTCTTACAATTATTGTTATTATTATCAGTAATATTGTTCAGCAACAATATATCATTTCTTCTACAGCATTTATTTAAACGCTCTACTGTCTTTCCGTTAGCTTTTGTCCACTTTGTCCGTTAAGATTCATTAGTAATTTTTAACACTTATCGCGTAATTCCAAATTCCATCCCTATTTCTAATCTCCACTAAGTCATCACCTTCTATATTACATCTCACATTAAGCAATTCATTTTCAAGAACATGATTAGCAGTATCTGATTAGTTTTATAAATTCTTTGTTAACAGTAAGGGCAATTTTACAGCTCTTGAAAATGATTCATCGAAAAGAAAATTTTCTTCTCTGTTAAGTCTTCTTTTGTTTATCAGTCGATATCGACTTCCTTAAGAAATGAAATTTATCTAGATCACATGAAGAATTAGAATGCAGATTATACTCCTGTTCACACTTCTATTGACTGCCATTCTATACGTACTACAAGCCTGTCTAAATTTGCCATCAGACTTTAAATATGAGTACCATTGTTGTGTTTCTGGCAGTCGGAGAATGCTGAAAGCATTGGAGATGTTTGTGTTGTGTTGTTAGCTCATGTTAACTAACGCCTTAATAATCTCTGAGTCTTGCCATTATAATGTGCATTCTGATAAGCATTTTAATCTCCTTTTCTCCATTTTACTATAGAATAAGGATATATTTTGTTAACTAATACAGTAGAATTTTAACTTCATAACTACACTCTAAGTGTTTATAAAAAAGAGGTTTAAGCGAACTAAAAGTTCATATACTTTTTCCCCTTTATGAATTTGAATAAATCAAAAGTAAAGATTTGTGCAGAATTAGATGATACCATCATTTATTTCATCGGCTTCTTATCATCTGCATACACCACAAAAAATAAATTAAGTTTGCGGAACAATTTTAACGTACTTGCAGAGTTGACATGACGCCAGTTTACAGTTTTCAGAAACTACTCTTATATTGGCTGATACGCAGAAGGTTCAAGTTTGTACGAAACAAAACATAAAAATTAAATGTTTCGATACAGTAGGAAAGAAGTTGCATACTAAATACAAGAGGTGGATAAGATGATAAATAAATAATAAGTTCCATAACAATGTGGTGACATCAGATCATCTTCAGAGGCACCTTAGAATCTCTCTGTACATAAACTGAATTAATTTTTTAGGGAGCAAGCAGATTATGAGAAGCTGACGAATGTAATGATGCCGACGTCTTGTTCTGCACAAACCGCTGCTTTTGCTTTATTTAAGCTCACTAGAATTATCTGTGAACTTTTGTTTCAAGCATTTTTACGACAGTATAAAAATTTTGTTGTTGTCTGATAATGCCCTAATCTTCAGAAAACTTCTAATTAAGTAAAGTACCATATCTCATGTTTCAATTTCAGTCATGTAAGTTCTTGTTCTTATTTTCAGGAAAACTAGTGAAGAACATAGATTGCTTTTCAGCAAAATGGAATTATTATTATTGTTTCCTTTAATTCCTAGAGGAACATAGGGCTTCAGCTGTACGTCTCCATTGCGTTTGGTTCTCTGCTACAGTCTTCACCTGGCTCCAAGTCTGCCCACACGTTTTCATCTCCTCTTCACATGACCTCCTCCAAGTCACCCTTGGACGACCAACTCGCCGCTTCCCTTTCGGGTTCCACTCGAGCAATGGCTTGTCCAGTGATGTCACTTGATTGTTTCCTCAGAGTATGGCCAATCCATCTCCATTTCTTTCTGTTACATGACAACTGTTAGA